ATATAATATTATTTTTTATTATTATAACGATGATCTTTTTAGTTTATATTAAAAAAAAGATGCAAGCAAGTTATGAAAAGTGTTATAGAGTGTATGTTTAATATTATCATGTACATACCATTTGGGTTTTTGGTCCAATAGTTCAAATCACTTGTAAAATACATTTTTTTTTTAATAACGGTTTGAATTTAATACTTACAAATTTGTTCAATATATATATATATATATTATCCTATATATATAAGGAGATTTTAATACTAGTCAGTTCATCGGGGGGAGCAGGTTTGACAAATTTGACATGATTTTTCTTCAAAATGGATTAGAGATTTTATTCAGTTTTTGTAATTGGATGTGATTCAATCGGTTCAACTAACTAGGACTAAATTTCTAACCAATGTTTTCAAGTTTAATTGCCAATTTGCTATACCTTTCAATTAGGAATGTTCCTAATTCCTAATTAGTTGGCATTCTTTCTATTTAAAGTTTTTATTCTTATTTTACTTATTTATTACAAAATTCAAACTTAAAATTTGTAATATAAAAATTTAAATTTTTAACTACTTAAATGTCTCTTAAATTTGAATCGTGTCTTTGGTTCAAGTGACTCGCTCCAAAATCTTAAGATATTTAGATTAGTTGATCAAGATTTTAATCCCCACTAAAACACCTTGAAAATCCCCTTCTCTAATCCCAAAAAATTGTAAATTGTTCAAAAAAACTAAAAAATGTCTTTTAAACTTGAGCCTAACTCTCGAGAAGATGATTTTAGAAGTAGAGAATACTAAACTAGTGTAAGTTGCTACGAGAAGGACCTAACTCCCATATAGGGCAGATTGAGCCTTCAATGGAGACATACGAAGGATTCGGAACTAAGGATGTCAACGGAACCCTATGGGATTGAGAAGTCCCTCCTCATCTTCATCCCCACCAATGACAGAGATGGGTATTTCCGCGAGGATTTTTGATAGAGAGTAGATTTCGTCCCCCATTCCCATTCCTTGCGGGAAATGGGGATCCCGAGGATCCCCATTCTCCACTAATTAATATTAAAATATAAATTTTTTATATATAATTAATTAATATTTAATTATAATGAATAAAATTCTAAAAGTTTAAGTACAATTAACTAAAATTTTTTAAATATAAAATTAAATATAAATTGTCCAAATAAATAAATATCAATTCCACATAAATAGCTAAATCAACAAACTTATTGATGATGGGTTCGGTTAATTTTTATGGGTTGGGTTGGGTAAAATTGGATTAAATTTAATTTTTATTAGATTGTATTTAGGTTTGAAAATTGAATTAAATTTAAAATAAAATTAATTTACATATTTTTGTAATTTTTGCGAGGATAGGGATCCCCACGAGGCTCCGCAGGACGGGGAAAAATCCCCGTGAAATTTTTCGAGGGGAAAATGCCCCCCGTCCCCGCGCGACCGGGATAAATTGCCATCTCTATTCGGAACATATAGTTTTTTTTTATATAAATAGGGATGCTAGACCAATATTCTGTTAGTCTGAATGAAAAAAATTCAGTTTTCTTAAAATAAAATCTTTAAGTTTGAGTCTTGTAAATGAAAAAATAGGCACCGAAAAAGTTTTCCTCTTTGTGGGATCCAACGTGACACAATTTTGGTTTAGTTGAAACTCAATATAATTATTAGGTATCAAAAATTAGTAAAAAAAATAAAAAAATAAACAGGGGTGCTGGTAGAGCAGCAGCATGAGCATGAGCTGACAAAAATAAACTTCCTTCGTATTGGGCTTATTGTTCTTCTGAGAAATGCACTGCTCAACTCCGGGCTGCGTCTCAGTTATGTGATGGTCAAACCCACTTAGGCCCAGCCCTTTCTTCCGAAATGTAAATGAGGTACCGATTAATAATATCCATTCGGCCTTTGTTAACTGCTACGATCCCTTTCAACAACCTCAATCAATTTTAATCTCTTTGAATTTGCTACCTTTATTTTGTTAACTGCTAGTATTACTATCCCTTTCCACATACCTCAATCGATTTTGATCCCTTTGCATTCTTGGAAATAATTGGTACATCTGCCAATTCCTGCCGGCCGAATTATCGCTGTCTCATATGTCAAAATCACTCTCCTAACAACACATACCCCATGACCCAGGTCCCAGGTTTGGTCCGAAACATCAGCACAAGCAATGACATTTTTCTTTTGCCTTCTTGGAATCATGGAACAACCCAG